TGCCTCCTTCATTTCACCGAAGCCTTGATTCCTACTGTAGCAGAGAAAGGAAGAAGCCTGATTCTGAGAAAGTATCGTGCCCGTCATCTGCACACTGAAGGATACTCCTAGGAGTAAGTGATCCATAGCTTATGAATTGCATGAGACTGCAAGCCTTTTAAAAACTTTCCTCAACCTCCAAGATTTTGTCAATGAAATTCAGCAGCAAAGTATCAAAATGCGGAGGTGTAATTTTCTTTCAAAAGAAAAAAAAGGGCAAAGGATAAAAAAGGATATTCGGCCCCTGACAGAGTTGATGTACAAATTTATCTTACTAAAAAAGAAAGAAAAGATAAACTTTAAAAAAACCAACAAAGGGCCTGAAATTCTGGCCCCACCCTTTCCAGTAACTTCAGCATATCACTACCACAACCTCTGGGGTCCTCAGTGGACCAAAAATAAAAGATTTTTTTAAAAAACACACACACAATGTAGTTTTGGCTGCAAAACAACCTCCGAGTCTTGACTTAATGTGTCCAATAATTTTCTTCTAATTATAAACCATGGGCCAAGCCCAGACAGCATGGAGTTTTTCACTGTAGCTCTCATGATCAATGCACATTCAGCCTTAGCGATTTATCTAGCCAGTGATACTGTCTGCATTTGCAATGAGAGTCCACATCATTTGTAGGGCAGTTCCAAAGTTGTAAGTTTCACCTGGGGAGAGTGCAATATCGCTAGTCATGCACAGGTTTATTCCCTGCCCTCAGCCCAAGCTTACAAATAATGGGCTTACAAAAAACACCCCCAACCTCCCAAGTTTGAAACTCATCAGCCCCTTGCCCACTTTTGGGGTATGCTCAAATATGATTTGGTCCTTTTTGAAGTTTGGCTTCTTTCTTTGCCTCTTTGCATTGTCCGGTACCAAGAATAATATGCAAACAGGTGTTTTGAGGGGTGCCGATCCCCTTCATGGAGTCCAGTGGTTTCTGCCTATAAGAAGGAAACCTTAATTCTGCAAAGGCCAGTCATAATCAGAGGTGGTATTCAGCAGGTTCTGACCAGTTCTGGAGAACCAGTAGCGAAAATTTTGAGTAGTTTGGAGAACCTCTGACTGACCCCGCCCCATCTATTCTCTGCCTCCCGAGTCCCAGCTGATTGGGAGGGAATGGGGATTTTGCAGTAACCTTTCCCTGGAGTGGGGAGGGAATGGGGATTTTACAGTATCCTTCCCCTGGAGTGGGGAGAGAATGGGGATTTTACAGTATCCTTCCCCTGGAGTGGGGAGGGAATGGGGATTTTGCAGTAACCTTCCCCTGCCACGCCCACCAAGCCACGCCCACCAAGCCATGCCATGCCCACCAAGCCATACCCACAGAACCGGTAGTAAAACAAATTGAAACCCACCACTGGTCATAATCCTGGAAATACGAGAGCATAGTGCTCTGTGCATGTTCAGAGGCATATACCATACATGCCAGGACAGACAATACTCTGAAAAGACTTCATGGAACTGAGCCCCAGCTATGCTATGATTTAGCTTAAAATGCTGGAATCCCCTGGATGAACCTCTGGAGAGGAGCAGAAGAAGACCCCAAGGCAACCATTTGGTGGTGATCGTGGGAGTGAGAGAAGCAGGCTGAACCAGATTGAGGTAGCAACAACAGCATTTGGGCAACTGAGACTTGCAAAATCTCCTCAATGAGATAGGAAACCTGTGGGATTCTGGATTTCTCATATGGAGATTTGGGGGGGGGCAGGAGGGGTGTTGTTAAGTTATCCCAGAGATTCACAGGCTAGGTCCACAAATGATTAACCTCCTAGTCAATTAAAGTCATAATGTCTAAATGTGAAAACATTTGGTTAGGGTTTTTTTTTTACGGTTAAGCATGCTATGGAAGCCCTGACCACTTAAGACTATTCATCATACGGTATGAACCCAGAAAATAATTCCAGTCATCCAACTGCATTCATACATGGCATATGGCTGGTTTGGCTCTAGCTTAACATGTCACGTGAACTCAACTATTCTGATTTGTAAACCATGGGTTATACTTTTGTATATTGTGCAAGCCAAACCAGCAATGGTTTATTCCGCAAACTATGGCTTAAAGGAACCCATGTGGGAAAATACCTCTCCTTTAAAATGTTCTCCCACATTTATTTATTTAAACATAGTCTTGAAGATGTGCACGTTGGAAATAAAGAGGGTGGAATGAAGGTGGCATAGAATGTTTGCTGTTTTTATTACTGTAGTCATTCACTATGTTTTATCTGCTTTTACCCTCAGGATTGCTAAAATAAGCATATACAATTATATAGCTATTTACTTCATACCAAGCGTCCGAAGCTTGCAAACCGTGTGGTATAACTAGGACAAGCCCGCCCCACTCATGCCAACATGAGAGCGAGCCTAGCGCAGATCCTATCCGTCAAAGAATTCCAACTGTGGTTCCAGAAGAAGAGCCTTATCTGCCTGCCTTCTGGAACATTCTACCCACCATCTGCCTCCATCCTCCTATCCGTCCACAAGAGATGAGGTCTTCAAACTTGGCAGCTTTAAGCATAGCTGGCTGGAGAATTCTGGGAGTTGAAGTCCACAAGTCTTAAAGCTGCCAAGTTTGAAGGCCTCTGCACAAGAGCCTGAAAACCTGGCTCTGCCGGTTGGTCTGGGGACCCAATGGGGAAGTAACGCACTGGAGGTGGCTAGTAGGTGGCTAGTAAACCTAGCGCTTCCCCACCTGCCCATTTTTTATTCTCATATCACTTATATTCTCATAGTTTTCTTTTTCATTGCTTATTCCATCGTTCCATCCCTTTGCTACTCTTATGTTTACACTTCTTTTCATTTCTACGTTTTTTATTGTTGTAAGCCACCTACAGTAGCCCCATGGTGAGATAAATTTAACAGATAAATAAATAAAAGTAGATTGTACTCAGGAACCACTAGAGTCACCATTTGAGCTTCCAATAGGAGCAAATATTTTATTTGAGATGTGTAAGGTGAGGGAGGGAACAGTGCTGTGGTCATTGGCTTCTATAGATCATGGGGAATGCAGAGATTTGGATGGTTCCAACTCTGCTGGCCTTTTGCAAAGCAGTGAAGATTTGCTGCTTCCCCAGGCATTGTGACCAAGATGATAATTACTGAAGTTCTGCTGTGGGTGTATATCAGTGGTGGGTTGCCCCCGGTTCGGACTGGTTCTATAGAACCGGTAGTAAAACTGACGAGAGGCTCCACCCACCGACCCCGATGTCATCAGGAAGCTTATGCACATGCGCAGAAGCGTGCGCGGCCCTGTTGTGATCCGATAATAAAGGTAAGTAGAACCCACCCCTGGTGTATAGGATGGGGATACTGAAATTTTAGTATTTTTTTGGTTGCTGTTTTAATTGATTGTTCAGTTCGATTTGGTTTACCATCTAGAATCTGGTGGGATAGATAGGCAGACACATAGATTGGATGGAAGGATGGATGGATAAATGCCAAGTAGTTGTTGAAGAATTCCAAGGTTTGGTTCTTGGAATGTCCATTTAGTTCTAGGAGAGGAGGGAAGCCTAGTAATTTGACAGGAGATTTTATAAAAGCCATCATTTGGGGCAGAGACATTATTTCTGGGAGCCTCAGTGGGACTTTGTGTTTTCATCCTGGAAATGCAGTATAGAATCACTATAAACATTTCAGAAATATTCATACAGCCATGTCAGTTAAAGGCAAAGCAGCTACGTTTGCCCAGTGTGCTATATTTGATTTTGTATTAACCTTGATTAGGGATTTTTGTTTTGGTTTTTGCAGCTTAGCATCTTGTGTGCACCTCAACTGTTGAATTAGTTTATGCTTCAATATATTGCATGAATCCTTCAAACTGATTACTTGAGTAACCATCTTAAGCATTTTCAATAAACAGAGATGTTCCATGTGCTCCCTAGTCTGAATCGTGGGGCACACCCACCCATTTTTCAAGAGAGATGAGACTCAAATCTGGAGGCAAGTTTGGGATCCTCATGCTTGGACCACAGGATGGGCCCTATCTTGCTGCACTTCCCAGGTCACGCTAAAAGGCAACCAAGGGCACAGACAACACTTGCAAATCTGGCCAAACAAGAATCAGAAAAAAAAACGCAGATACAGTTTAGGGGAGGAAATGACCTTTGAGCATCTGTTAGGTATACTTTTCAGTAAAAGCTGGGACAGAAATAGGATGGGGAAAGTCCTCACTTAAACCCCTGAGAAGCTGCAGGTGGTGTGACCTGGAAGACAGGGAAGGTTGCATCCCCTCGTTAACACCCATTTGCAGAGACAAAAGGAAACCCCATCAGAACTGCAGGAACAATTGGCCAACCTCCCAGAGGTACCAGCCAATGCGTATGCAGGAGGTCACCTCCACCCAGTCATAGCAATGGCCTTTTCTGTGCCGCTTTGTTGTGCAATGGAAGAGCTTATTAGCTGAAGCTGCCAGCCCTAAACACCAAAGACCCCCTCCTGAGCTTCATCGCTCCACAGTTCAGCCACTCCTCCTTCCTGGCCAGATGGAGCAGCATCTGACAGCCTATGCAAAGGAATCCGACACATGACAGCGCATAAACCTAAGCAAGAGGCCCAGCAGATACTGCAGCCAACAGAAATCCATTACTGCCACAAGGTCCAGTGTGCGCCAGCAGACAAAATATTAGCATGTGGCCTCTGTCTCCCCAGGAAGTCACACCTCTTTTCACTGAGCATCAACCCATATTTACCACAAATATTGCTGGAATAGTCCTCATAATGAATGGCTGCATGCTGAGTTAAGACTCCAATAAGTCCATCTGATTAGCTAAGTGTTATTAAAAGGGGGGAGTGAATTAATCTTAATAGTGAACCTATCAGATGATATTTAGAACAATGTGGAACCTCCTGCTCCACCTGGAAAATGATGTCCTGCCTCACTGTTTGTTTGTTTTTTTTCCTGAATGCACAAATGATTGCTTAGTGCTGTGTACCCGAACCAAACTTCAGAAATGGTGGTATGAATGAGGCTTACCTTGTATTTGGTTGCTAGAAGTTCAGTGGCCTCTTGCTCCCTCCTGAGTTCCTCAATCATCTTTTCTTTCTCCTCCAGTAGCTTTTGCTTCTCCTCATTCACCAGGCTGTGGTCATCTTGGATTGCAGCTTTCTCCTCCTCCAACCTCTCCTTTTGCTCCTTCAAGTAATTTTTCATGTTTTTTTCCAGCCCTCCATCCTCATTGTCCTCTGGTTCTTCACCTTCGGGGGTTCCCTCCCCATCTATGGTTTTCTTTCTCCGGCTACTCCTCCGCCTTTTCTTGCTCAGCATCCCACGTTTCTCCAACTGGGCCTTCAGGCGGATGATCTCCTCCTGAAACTCCCGCAATAGTGTATCTTTAGGATCCTCGTTGATTCGTGGCTTGTTCTTGATATTTTTGGCCCTATTAGCAAATCGGAGGGTTGACAAGCTCTCATCGTAGCTGTGGGAAGCTGGGCCCAGCGTGGCTACCATGATGGTCTTGGCATTGCCACCCAAAGAGTCCTGCAGAAGGCGGGTGAGCTTGGAATCCCGATATGGGATATGGGTACTTTTGCCATCCACCAGGGCTGAAATCACATTCCCCAGAGCGGAGAGGGAGAGGTTGATCTTGGAGGCTTCTTTGGGTCGTTCCCCCTGGGCACCCATCTTGCTTTGCCTTTCACTCCCAGCCAAGTCCACCAGGTTGAGCTTTCCTACCCGGATGTGATCCTCTCCATCTGGGCCAGTCTCACTGCACTCCACCGTGATGACAAAGATGGCGTGCGAGCGGGAGCTGTACTCGTTCATGTTCGTGCTGCCCACCGATCGAGTTTGGTTCCCCAAATTCATGACGTGTTCAATTTCTTTGACGTTTTTTGTCACAAAGGACGAAAGGTCCTTGATGTAAACACCCGTTTCCGGGTTCTCTTTCAGCTCCATTTTCTTACTCTGGTCTTTTGCCAGGAGATCTCGGATCTCTTCTTGATAGATCTCCAAATAGGAAGCCCTGACCAAATATTGCTGGTTCTGTGAACGGGAGATGTGGGTGAAAATGTGCTCAAAGGAGATGGGGATGACGCCTCTCTTCTCAGGGTCAGCCCAGATCCCTTGCATAGTGTAGGTCTTCCCGGTACCCGTCTGACCGTAGGCAAAGATGGTGCCATTGAATCCTTGCAGGACCGAATCGATCAAGGGCCGGACCGTTTCATCATACAGGTCTGCCTGCTTGGAGGTGGCATCATACACAGCATCAAAGGTGAAGGTTTTGGCCAGTTCCCCTGGGGAGGCCTTGGGGTTCCGGATAGTCACCTGGCCCAGCTTCACATCCATGTCCAGGATCCTCTCGTAGCCGGTGGCTTCCTCTTTCCTGTTCATGGGGCGGCAGCGGACCACGACTTTCAGAGTCTCGCTGACCCTGGGCCTATTAGCCATCGCGAAACCGAGAACGGGGGGTCCCTGCTCCCGGGATCTTTCCTTGCCCTTCGGCTGTCAGGGCTGGGCAGCGGCAGCACCGTTTCTAGGCATGAGGTCCTCCTCTCTCCGCTCCGAGTGGCGAGCTGGGTGGCTGCTCCGCTGCGGCAGCGGAGTTGACAGGCTGGCGCGGGCTGCGGTTCTCGGCACCGTCTCTTCTCACAATAGGTAAAGAGTTGAAGGCGTGCTCCCTTCACGGCATCCCGCCTCGGACCACGGACCACCCATGCCGGCTCATCCCGCCGTGAAGGAGGGGTGGGTGGAGGGGGTGGGTGGGTAAGGAAGAAGAGAGAGGTAAGGGAGGGTCTTTTTTTTTTTAGCCTTCCCCGCAGGCGGCGGACGGCGTTAACCCCCGCTCTGCCCAGGCTCGCTTCCTTCCTAATCTCAATAGCTTCGCAGCGAGTCCCTCAGCAGCTCCAGGCGATCCGAAGGGCTCGCGAGTCGCAGCGCTGGATGCTCATTCATTGCAGCTCAGCAGCGGCAACAGCAGCTGCCGCCCCTCTCACACGTAAGAGGACGAGGGAGGAAAACAGAAGGGAGGGGGAAGCAGCGCCCGGAGGGAGATGCTCCTGCTGCTGCTGCTGCTGATCCTGGGGAGGGGGGGGTAAAGGGGGGCTGCCGGCCCTTGGCTTGCTGCCGGCTGCCCTGGAACGGAAAAGCAAACCGCGGGAGGGCGGAAGGGGGCTGGGGGATAACAGAAAGCGTCTCCTCATCCTCAGTTTGCTGCCCACCCCCAGAAGGGGAACCACCAGCAGCTCCTCGGCTGCCCCCGCCCACTGTTCGCAAAGCATCCTGGGGAACGTAGTCCTGCCTTTGTTGTCTTCTTCTTCTTCAGCCACAAGGAGAAGGATGCAACTCAGAGCCGGTTGACTTGGGGAAGGTAGGCTGGGGTTGTTGGTGATATGGTGTTTCTTAAAGGGACAGGCGTCTTTATTATTAGTCATATTATTATGTTTTTATTAGTCACATTTCTGTGCCGCCCACTCTCCGAGGACTCTGGGTGGCTTACACCAAAGGCAGTATACTTAAATAGCATATTGCCCCCCAACAATCTGGGTCCTCATTTTACCCCACCTCGGAAGGATGGAAGGCTGAGTCAACCTTGAGCCGGTGAGATTTGATCCGCTGATCTAGCAGTCAGCTGAAGTAGCTGCAGTACAGCACTCTAACCACTGCGCCACCTCGGCACTTTCTTTCGGCCATTTAAAACCTGGGGTTTTAAATTTGTCTTGGGCTAAATTGATTTAATTCGATTTTACTTCTGCTCTTAAATTTTTGTATTCTAGGTGTTTTATCTTGTGCCTGTTCACCGCCCTGAGTCCTTCGGGAGTAGGGCGGTATATAAATCAAATGAAATGAAAATGAAATGAAATGAAATTCGGAGCCAAACAGAAGGAGGGAGCTTCCGGATCAAGAGAAAGGCCAATGTCATATCCCCCGCTGGCTGGGGGATTCTGGGAGTTGAAGTCCACCCATCTTCAAGCTTCCAAGGTTGAGAAACACTGATTTACGAAAACCTTTCCCAACGGAGTGGCTGCTACGTCTCCCAGACTGCTGGGCATCATGGGGGTATAATGTAGTAAAGAGTGGCCGATTTGAGCAGATTAATCAAAACGAATGTACATTTTATTCCTTGATAGCCTCTTTAAAAAAAAAAACAGGCTCCTGTTAGGTCTCACAGTCATTTTATATGTGGTTGTGATGATTGGGACAAACCCAAGATTAGGCAGGACTAGAAAAGAGTTTTTTTGGGGGGAGGGGGTTTGAGCCCAGAAAAGAAAAGAAAAAAATCCATTTGGAATGTGAAACAGCCTAGCAGAAGGAAAGGCAGCTCTCACACAGATGGCACAGCCCAGCAAGTTCTCCTATGCAACTCTTCTCTAGCCCCAATTCCTTGCCAGATCTGAGCTATGCAAAAAACCTCTGGGAAGAGACAAGTTATTTGCTGTCACCTAGTGGTCATCCAGTAGTGAGTCTCCTAAAATAATACACAGCCTTTTCATTTCCATGGGTTCGTTAGGGCATTAATTAGCGCACCTTGGGAGAGTGACATTTTGGGCTTTTTTTTTTTTTTATTGTCGGCTTGAGGCATCTAGATATCTTGGATCAGCCCTAAAACTGTAAGTAATAATAGAAACAGTGAGATATTAATGATACACAGAAATTTGCTATTTTTTTTCCTAAATCTCCACCTCCCATATAAGCAGCTGGTTGTATCTGGTTGAGTATGGAAGTATGGATCAGGCTTTGCTAGTATTTAAATCAGTATTTAAGCTCCCAGAATTCCCCAGCCAGCAGGCTGGGAAAAGGTAACAGCAAACCCCCAAAATTTTAACCTTAAACTGTCTACTGTTGACCTCACCCCATTCCTAAGAGGTCTGTAATGGGCGTGCATAAGTGCACCAGCGTGCCTAACGTCCCTGTCCTAATATTTCTTTTTACTTACTCTTTTCATGTACTCAAATTATGTTTATACTTTTACCTGTTATCTTATATATGTTTGACAAATAAACTTATGATTATGATTAAATTATTTTGATATTCCTTCCAAGAAAATGCATGGACCATGCCCATATAGTTAGCAGGAGTTGTTCAGTGCTGCTTTATTTTATCTCCTTTTTCTTATTCCTGCAATTTTAATTAACCTATGTACCCATTTTTACAGACTATTTAGCAGAGAAATCTGAATAAAAGATATATTTTGGGAGCAAATTGTATGTTTGCACAAATCTCTAAATGAACAGTTCCCACAGAGTAAAAAGCTAAATACTGTACAAATTAGTTCTACAATGTGTATATTTATTTATTTTATTAAATTTATATGCCGCCCTTCTCCCGTAGGACTCGGGGCGACACACAGAATAAAAACATGTAACAATAAGAAATCCTAAAAACAGCCAATATAAAAGCCCAAACAGAATAAAATCTCGTAGCAGATCAGGGAAATTGCTGAAACAGCCATGTCTTCAGGTTGGTGCGGAAAGTGTATACATACATACATACATACCGGTACATACATATATATTAGATTCAAAATAAGAAAAAGGTGAATATAGTAGATGCAAAAGCTTTGGCAGCCTTTCAGACACTACTTTGTATTCCTTCCTTTGGCAAAAAGGAATAATGTACTTTCTGTATTTTAAAGAATGTATTTTTAGTCTTGGTTTTGATATTTTGATATTTTTTCCTATTCTTCTTTGCAGAACCTTTCTGGCTTAAGAACAACTCCTGAACTCCTTATGTGCACTACATTTTGAGATCTCCCCAGATCCTGAATAATATTCAATCACGTTGACTGTGAAGCTGTTACAAAACATTTATTTGTCCTATAGCCATTTCATGGTTAGTTTGGAAATTAATTTCAAATACACATAGTCCTTGACTTACAACCACAATTGAGCTCAACATTTCTGTTGCTAAGCAAGGCAGTGGTTAAGTGAGTTTTGCTCCATCTTACAACCTTTTTGCCACAGTTGTTAAGCAAATCACTGCAATTGTTTAAGTGACTCTTACGGTCATTAAGCAAATCTGGCTTCACTCACTGATTTTGCTTGTCAGAAGCCAGCTGGGAAGGTTACAAGTGGTGAGATCAAATCAGTGGTGGGTTGTCCCCCAGTTTGGACCGGTTCACAAGAACCGGTAGTAAAACTGGCGGGAGACTCTGCCCACTGACCCGGATGTCATCAGAAAGCTTCTGCGCATGCGCAGAAGCTTTGGTGTATGTGCAGAGGAGCAAGCGAGTGAAGCAAGCACACGCACGTGGCCCCATTGCAAACCGGTAGTAAAGGTAAGTAGAACCCACCCCTGGATCAAATGACCCCAGGACAGTGCAACTGTCATAAATACATGCCAGTTGCCAAGTGCCGGAATATTGATTGTGTGACCATAGGAATGCTGCAACAGTCATAATACGAAAACCAGTCATAAGTGACTTTTTTCAGTGCTGTTGTACTGGTCACTAAACAAATGGTTGTAAGTTGAGGACTATCTGTACCGTAGCAGTTTTGCACAAATATCTAACTTCTTTGCAGCTTCGGTTCCATTTTGCAAACTGAATTACCTGCTCTGCCCACTTACAATGCATTATTAATGATTGCTGATCCAGCCACTATCCAGAAGCAGGTTGACCTTTACAAGAAACCAAGAATAATAAACCTAAGCAAAATCAAAATACCGGCCAGAAAACATTGCAGGTGGGATGCAGAAGATGAGGGAGCTGAATAACCAAATAAAGCCACAGGGTCAATGGCACTGCTTTCTCATTCTACAATGCTCTGGCAATTTTGCTAAGCACTTTTGTATTTTTCCTCCTGCTGATTTAGCACTTCAGGCAGAGGGCCAACTTGGATTCCCTTCCCACTCAGTGCTAAAATTGTAAGGAATCATGCAAATTTTGTAGCACTCGTTTTTTCAATAGTTCCTCATGGTCTGCAGCTGGACTGGTTTGCATCTGGAGAGTATTACATTGAGCAAGGCTGATCCAAATGTTCCCTGCATGTGGGAAACACTGCAAGCTTTTATCTCCTTAGCTGTACCCCTTTCTTTAGCCGCATCTTTTAAAACTTGATGATAATATATATCTTATAGAAGCACCAGCAGTTTTACTGACCAAAGATCCATCTATATCAGGTGTGTCAAACTTGATTTCATTGAGGGCCGAATCAGGGTTGTGTTTGACCTTGGGAGGGCCAGGGGACATGGCCAGGGGGCATGACTAGCTCAATGTCACTCATATTGGGGGTGCCTGTGGTGGCCCAAGTGCTTTGCCAGTGAAAACGGGCTCCCCAGCTCCGTTTTCACCTGCAACAGCCTCCTGAAACCCTCCGCCAGTGAAAACAGCTTGGGAGGGCCACCTGTGGCCCTCCCAAGCTCCATTTTTATTGGCTGAGGCATCGTGGGTCGGTCCTTCACTGTTTCCAGGGCAGCTCTACAGGCCAGATCTAAGCACCCCACGGGCTGGATCCAGCCCATGGGCCTTGAATTTGACAATCCTGATCTATATGAATCTATAGCAGCAGTGAAATCCGGCAGAATCTATCCGGCTCGCACGAACCGGTAGGGCCGGCGGCAGGATGCTCCGCCCACCCACTGGGACGTCATTATGTCCCGTTTTTTATGCTCTGCGCATGTGCAGAAGAGGCACGCACGCTCACATTTCCGAACTGGTAACGAAGGTAAGTGCATTTCACCGCTGATCTATAGTCTGTTTTCATAATGACCAAGCAAATACTCTGGTAAATTCATTGACAGAGAATGAAATGGCAGTTCTCTTGCTGTTTGCCTGGCATTCAACAGTATATTGATTCTTTTAAGAATATGAAAATGCCATTAAGTTTTCATATCTAATAGCTACTTCTACCACCTATTTACTTAGCTTCCTTTGAAAAAGTAAGATCCTTTGGAGTTATGTTCATCTTCCTGGATCCATTCATGTAGATTTCTTGACAATAACACCAAAATGGCTACCATTGCCTTCTTCCTGGATTGTTTCCCCTGTATTCCATTCTTGCTTATTTCCTTGTGGTTTCTCAATCAAGCACCAGACAGCTCCAGCCCTGCTTAGCTTTCTGAGATCTCCCAAGGTCAGCTGCAATATAAATCTATTGCTATCACTGAATCTTGTGGCAATGCTACATTAAATGAGTTATATGCTATGGGTTGAAGCCAACTAGCTGTTTATCCTGCCTTTCCTTGAGGATAAAAATAGGCAAGCGGAGATCGTGGAAATAAATCTGGCTCTCCTGAGTTTCCTGTCTAGTTTTCCTAACTGGAGGATTTCTTACCTTTAGGCTTGCCAGCGGGTGAAAGGACACTGACATTTGAAAGTCTTGCTGGCTCATATGAATGCACTGATCCTACCTAAGCAAGGATGAGATCCATTCTAGCGTTGTTGGATGAGACCTCAATTTTGTACCAGAAATATATAATGTACTGTAACATCAATCTTTTATTGGAAAAGAATCAGTGTACTGCCAAATTTTAAAATGGAAATCAGGAACTCATAAGTCTATCAGTTTATGTAGAAATGGATTATTACCTGTAACATTATTATGCAGAAGACCAAGGTCTCAGTTGAAAATGATCAACATAATTTCTACAAAGATGAATCTTAATTCACTTACGTTTGAGTTATGTGGCAGTACCGTGTTTCCCTGAAAATAAGTCTCTGCCTTATATTTTTTTGAACCCTGAAATAAGCAGTTGGCCTTATTTTTGGGAAGGTTTTATTATTTTGGGGCCGGTGGAGGAAACCAGAGGAAATGGCAAAGACTGGCTGTGCATGCATTTAAATATTTTTGGGAGGGCTTATTTTCAGGGGGGGGTTATTTTACTGCATGCGCTCAAAAGCCCAATTGGGCTTATTATCAGGGGATGTCTTATTTTAGGGGAAAGAGGGTACCTGCAGGGCCACATATTCCAACCAGCTCAAATCTGTTAAAATACAGGTAGTCCTAAACTTATGACAACAATTGAGTCCAAAATTTATGTTATTAAGTGAGAAATTTGTTAAGTGAGTTTTGCCCCATTTTACGACTTTTCTTGCCGCATCTGTTAAGTGAAATCACTGCAATTTTTAAATTAGTAACACAGTTATTAAGTGAATCTGGTTTCCCCATTGACTTTGCTTGTCAGAAGATTGTAAAAGGGGATCATGTGACCCCGGGACACTGCAACCGTCATAAAGGTGAGTCAGTTGTCAAGCATCCGAATGTAAATCACGTAACGATGGGGATACTGCAACGGTCGTAAATGTGAAAAATGGCCACAAGTCACTTTTTTCAGTGCTGTTGTAACTTTGAATGATCACTAAACGAAGTGTTTGTAAGTCGAGGACTACCTGTATCCAAGGAGAAGCTACTCATAGTCCCACATTTCTGCGAGGTTGGATGTTAGATGCGGTGATAGAAGAGACCGACACAGTTCTTTAGTAACAATAGCTCTTTAATAGTAGACCAGTACAACCCCACAACCTGCTTGTCTGGCAGTGTCCTCTTTTATAGAGGGCTGCCAGACGGCTTAGCCAATGAGATTCAAGTATTTTCCTGCCTATTTGGAGGACCTGAGTGAAGCCTGCAGCTCACTTCCTTACTTCCGTATACGTTATATAATATTGGAGGCAGGGGTGGGTTCTAAAATTTTTTACTACCGGTTCTGTGAGCATGGCTTATTTTATGGGTGTGGCTTGGTGGGGGGTGTAATGTGATGGTGGGCGTGGCCAACTTTTTTTTTTTTTAGCTTTAAAAGCATTTTTCGGCAACCTTAAGAAGATGCAGAAAAAATGCTTTTAGAAGCCTCTGGCAATCAGGCAACTCAGCTGGGATCGCCAGAGGCTTTTAAAGGCATTTTTTTTTCTACAGCTTCTTCGGTCAAAGAGGTTGCAGAAAAAATGCTTTTAGAAGCCTCTGACGATCCCAGCTGAGCCGCGCGATCATCAGAGGCTTTTTTTTTACCTTTAAAAGCATTTTTTCAGCCAAAGAGGTTGTAGAAAAAATGCTTTTAAAAGAAAAGAAAAAAAAAGCCTCTAATGAGGTGGGCGGGGTAAATGAGCAGCGACCGGGCCGGGGACCAGTTCAAAGGTGTGGCCAGCCAATGTTATTGCTGATTCTCTGAACTACTACAAATTTTTAGTACTAGTTCTTGCCAACCGGTGCGAACCGGGAGGAACCCACCACTGATTGGAGGGAGTGAAGCTGCAAGGCACTGCTTTTTGTGTGTCAATTCTGGTGCCTTGGAACAGCCTCCTGACAAAACTCAGGGTAACTCCCATTTTGCTAATTGTTAGGAAATGTTGAAGACCAAACTACTGCGTGTATAATTATTTTCCCCCATTTTTTTGTCCTTATTGTATTGCTTTCCCTTGTTTAGGTTGCTTTTGATGGTCCCTGTTTGGAGTTTTAATCAGACTGTTGATGTTTTAAC